ACGTACCGACTACCACTTAGTTGTTCGTTGTCGTAAATAAGGTCGAAAAAAAATTTAAAAATTAAGTAGTGAGTAGTAGTCGTCTATGTGTGTGTGTGTGTGTGTGTGTGTGTGTGTGTGTGTGTGTGTGTGTGTGTACATATAGATGTGCCACATCTTCTTTATCCATTTATCTGTTAATGGACATTTAGGTTGCTTCTATATCTTGGCCATTGTAAATAATGCTGCTATGAACACTGGGGTGCATGTATGTGCTTGAATTAGTGTTTTTGTTTTTTGGATATATATATCCAGAAGTGACTTGCTGGGTTATGACCCCTTTCTCTTGTCTGTACCAATTGTCTGCCATGTCTTTTCCTTTACACTGTTCATGCATTAACACAAGCGGCAATTGCCAAATTATCCCCATCTTCTGCAACAGCTACAAGTCTCTGCTTGAGGCACCAGTTACAGACCTCACTGATCACCTCCCATTCTTTGATCAGCAGCTAACAAGACCGATAACCACATTTTTGGACTTCTCAAATTATTTGTGTACATACACGACCGATGCTCCTTTTGGCTCTTTATTTAAGAAACTTTTAAAAGATTATAGTCTCTCCTACTGGGCATTATTCTTCAAACAGAGCCACTGCCTGAAGATTCAAGTGCAGGGAGTGGCTGGGTTGACTACCAAAAAAAAAAAAAAAAGATTATAGTTCTAGTTTTAGAACCTTAGAAAACTAGTACCAGGTAGATAGCACCTCAGGAATTAAGAAAACTTCGTGAGTCACCCAGGGAATAGTACTTTCTAAGCAATACGAAAAATCATTTCTTCTGACAAAAATCACTTCACAGGGCCTTTGGTGATCACTCACTGCCATCCATGCCCTGGCGAAAAGGAAATGCCTAAGATATTTCTTGTGGCTAGACTCCCATTTCCACTTCAGATAGCACTAGTAGACAACAATGATTCACATCTAACTAAATGACATTTCAGATCAATCATTTTTAAATTGCATTTCAAAGCCAGACGCAGGAAAAGCTAACCGCTCTTAAACTGGTATTCTAAAAGTAATAATTCTACTGACGTCCATATAGAAGTACACGGACATGGATTAAAAGACTTATAACTGAGAGAAATCAAAGGATTTTATATGAGGTTTCCAGACACTCAGCAAATTGATAAAGGACACAGTCATAGTCTTGGCAATTCCAACTGTAAAGCATTTCATATTTTGGTAGAAAATGTATCTAGATACACGTTCTTGCAACTAATGGAAGAAAGTCTGCTTTGAGAAAGGCTGAGTTTAAAAATGAGGCATCAAAAATGATACGTAACAAATATAATACATTTTAAAAGGTATTGAAAATCTAATTCTCCCCATCACGCACACAAAAACCAACGTTTATTTTTCAAATGAATCAAATTAAGTTAGCTAAAACATATGAAGAAACCACAAAACAGGCAATTTCAGGCTTCTTTGTGCCAAGTAGAATATGGCAAAACTTAAATTTAATTATAATATTTTTCCTCCAGTTGGAGGGGAAATGTTTCATTTTCATCTGGCACCTTAAATAAAAGCTTCTTAGTAATTACTGTAAAATAGTTATGGTTAATTTTACATGATGTGTATTTTATCATAATTTTTTAAAGTTAGGCTTTGGGTATACTGGCAGCCAGTTATAATACTACCTGGAAGACAAAGTTGTCTCAAGTAAAATGCAGAGTTGGAGACAGAAGGAGCAGGCTCATGAAGGGATGGAAAGCATTAAAGAATCAGAGTTGGATTCCTGACTTAGTCACTAATGCACTGCAAGTGGAGGACAAACAATCTGACACTACTTTAACTTTTGGACCAAGGTAACTTGGGGAATGATGTCATCTGAGCCTGATAGACCTCCATAATATTCCAGAAATCTATTTTTAACACCCCCCCCCTAAAATGCTACTTGAGGTCTTTGATTCTATGGGACAGTCTTGTATTCTGCATAACACCATCTAAAATAGTTTCTGAACTGATGAAGCCCTTCTTCAAAGCCGTCAAAGTCAACCCCTAAAAACTCTGATTTTTTCCAACGACAAGCCATTTATATAACAGCTAAGTCAAACTGAGTTGATGCAAGACAAAGCAAATAGGAGATAAGATATTTTAGATACAGATGAAATTCTAATGAGAAAAATGACAGAAATTAATGCAGTAAAAAGTCAACAACAGTAGAGATGGATGTTTAATTTTAAGTGAGAAAGATAAATTTCACCAGAGGTACATTACTGTCAACAGGGAAGTCTGAAGTTTCTAATTTTTTTTGGCTCTTACTCGACTTTGAATCTCTTACTTATTATTTTATAGGTCAAAGTTTTATATGGAATTAGGCCTTAATCAGGTAAAACAATTTTTCTGTTGAAACCTGTGATCACAAAAAATTAGTTTCATCACTTCTCACTGTGTCACTGTGTTTAAACCTTTTGGAATACAGTTGACACCAAAACACACCGTTCTCTTCGCCAGTCCCTACTTTCTGGATTTGTATCTTCCCATATACTCAGTGACAGTCTCTTACGGGTAGAGCATTGGCTGGAAGCCTGGGGACACAAAAGAGGAAGGAGATACAGAGGCTGCCTCCAAGGAACTTAAATTACTCAGAAGTCAATATGCACACATAAGTTTAAAAACAGATCTATTCCTTGATCTTCTCATTTGTTGGATTTCACAGATTACAGCTAATTTTCTGAAATGTTCTTGTTATACTTTGACTTTAGATAAGAGAAAGCTGGACCAAGTTTAAAAAAAAATAATAATCCAAAGTATTAAATTCCTGGTTCCATTGCTATCTGGCGCTAAGTCACTATTTCTCAATGCCTTTTCCAATTATAAAACTGAAATTCATGTGTTAGGATGAAGACTGAAGGCTCAATAAGGCCACAGGTTAAGGAGCTACTGCTTTAAAAAAAAAAAAAAGAAGAGAAAGAATCACGAGGACACTAAAACTGATTGCAAAATTGAAAATTCTAGAGAATAAAAGAGATGATAATGAGGTGTCTTGAGGTATCAATTACCCTCTTCCTGCCAACCAAGAAATTCCAAATCATTGAAAACCATACCAAGACATTCCTTTTTAACTTTTTTATTCTGAGATAATTTTAGACTTATGAACAGTTGCAAAAATTGTACAGAGTTCCTAAATGCCATTCCTCCAACTTCTCCTAGTGTGAAATGAACACCTTACATAATAGTTAATTATGTAATAATAAAATTTACATTGACACAAAATAATTAAACAATCTGCAGGCCTTATTCAAACTTCACAAACTGTCCAACTAATGTCTTTTCATTTTTTTCAGTCCAAGATCCAGCTCAGGTTACCACCTTGCGTTTAGTCGCCATGTCTCCTTAGCCTTCTCCAATCTGTGGCTGTTCTGCAGTCTGTTTTTGGCTTTCATGACCTTGACAAGTTTGACTAGTCCAGGCCACTTGTTATTTAGTACAATGTTCTCCAATCTGGGTTTATCTGAGGCTTTTTCATGATAGGGTTGAGACTGTGCATTTTGGGCAAGAACATCACAGAAGTGGTGCTGGGCTGTCAGGAGGGACATGAGGACAACCTGTCTCAATACTGTTGATGTTAACTTTTTAACTTGGTTAAAGTGCTATCTGCCAGGTTTCTCCACCCCTTGAAATCAACAAGTATCTTGTAGGGAGATACTTTAAGATTCTTCAAATATCCTACTTCTCATCATATCTTTGTTTGCTAATTTTTGTATCTGTCAATAATTCTTGCCTATGATAATTATTACTGTGGTATTTGCTTAAGAGTGATTTCTATGTCCATCATTCATTCTGTATTTGTTCAGTACAATTCTACTACAAAGAAGAATTGTCCCTTATCCCTCATTTATTTGTTTATTCATTTTATTTAGGTCAGTATGGATGAAAGATATCTACTTTATTTACTGGATTCGAATCCATTACTAATCAGATCCATATTTAAATAATAGAAACACAAATTTCTAAGTATCTTCTCAAGTATCAAGAGGTCACTCCCCTCAAAGCAACTACTAAAAAATCCTTAACTTGATTTAAAGTGATTTATTATTTCTCCTTTGAAATTTGTACTAATCTATCTGTTAAATAAAAATGTCTCTCTCCTCCTATCCAAGCATGAAAGACCACTTTTCCTCCTCCTCCTCATCGTCCTAAAAATTCTTTCCAAACAGGAAAAAAAGTTTTAATTCAAAGAGAAAACAAGTTCAATTTCATTGTAATAGAATAAGAACAATAATAC